CAAGTCACGCTAATACATGTTTGAATAACGGAATATGCCTCTGAAGATGTTTGTTTACAAGCTTTATACTGAAGGAACCCATATAATCCAGTAGAGAAACCATCCAACTATTCATAGTATTGGATCCCATGTCGCTACAATTAATTTCTCAAATTCTTGGCTAAAAGTTGTAGGGTTAACTTGAAATAGTGAAAATCAGTAACTTCTTGAAAACTGAAGATATATCTGGGAAAACACTGTTCACAATAGAGAAAAAGAGCACTATTTTATGCCGGAAAACACTGTAGCTCGCCGAAAATTTTTAAAGTTGTCAGAATCTGTTGGAAATAGTACTGGTGGACTCGGAATTGCTTTGCGACCAAGCTGTCCTGAAGAAGCTTGGCCAAAAAATGGGCGGAGAAGCATGCATGCGCAGGCTCGTGGGACAGACTCGCATGCGAAATCCCAGATCTCGGTGGCGCGTGGGGCATCTCTTGCGGTAGAATCTTTTTGGGGTTTGGTCGCTAGAGGTTTCTGACTCTAATGGTGTTGTTAATCTGTGCACAACACTCACCAAACGTGAGATGATGCAAATCAGTCACTTAGGTCACTGGAAAAATTGCATGGTGACTGAGTTATTTCTTTCCAGATACCGTTGGAATGACGCACATCGATTCTTTCTCACTAAAGTGGCTTAGCAGTATGTTAACATATTGGTCCACTACCGAAACAAGACTTCATAAGTTCAGGGACTTGAGAATGGAACAAAAAACATGGAGACTCAACCGTCTCCCGAAAAGAGATGCAGCTATGTTGAAAAGACAATTATCTCGCTTGCAAACATATCTGGGCGGGATTACCATGTGAGAAAGAACTAGACAAAATATTATTTCTTATTTTCTATGTTACAATAAGCCCTATTTATATGTATACGTAACACATAACTTACTCCTATTACATAAGGGACTAAGACTAATTAGATATATTCACATAACTATTCTAACAAACTTTATTACCTTATCCTTGCTAAATCATATTAACCCACATCAATAGTGTTGTTCTGTTACTGATTCACTAGATTTGTTACATAAACGACAACTGGAATAGGTCAAGTTAGTCCACTTCCTTTTTTACCTTTAAATTCAGTTCTTTATATTCCTAGTAATCCTTTTAATTTCATATTCATTAGTCGCTTAGCCAAATCACTTAATTGCTCTATTTTTTTTCTTGATGATATTGTTTTTATACAGGAACACAGTCTCAAGACAGATTATTAGTACCGGGTGTGAATCAAATGGACTTTATTATCTTATCCTTGCTAAATCACACGGACTCATATCTTGTCCTCATATAACAAATTGCCATATTACCGATTTACTAGATTTATTTCATAACTGTTGGGACATCCCAGTTTATCAAAACTTCAGAATATGGTACTCGGTGTGTCTCACTTGATCACTCTAGAATGTGAGTCATGTTAGCTCAGTAAGCATACTCGCTCCCATTTTCCTCGACGTCCTAGTAATCGAGCAGAGTTAGCTTTCACTATAGTCTACTAGGATGTTTGGGGTCCTAGTCAAGTCAGTTCTACCTTTGGATTCTGCTACTTTGTTAGTTTCATTAATAATTATTCCAGGTGCATTCTTGATGAAAAATCAATATGAGTTGTTTATATTTTCCAGATCATCTACCCTGAATTTAAATCAAGTTGAGGTTTTTATCCGGATATTTTGCAATGATAATGCCCTAGAGCATTTGTTTTCCCCATTTCAGTAGTTTATGAACTCTCATGGGATCATTCATCAAACATCATGTCCGTACACATCTCAACAAAATGTGGTGGCTGAAAGAAAGAATAGGCATCTTATTAAAAGTGCTCATATCGTACCCATACGATATCATGTTCCGTTACGTTTTTGGGGGATGCATTTCTCACGTCTTATTATCTTATTAATCGTATACCATCCTCAACTATCCATAATCAAGTTCCATTCTCTTTCATGTTTCCTCACTCACTGTTGTTCTTTCTTCCATCCCTTGTCTTTGGGAGCACTTGTTTTGTTCATAACTTTACTCCAAGAAAAGATAAGTTAGTTTCTCGTGCTCTTAGGTGTGCATTTCTGGGTTACTCGAGAACAAAAAAAGGATATTGATTCTATTCCCCTGACCTCTAGCAATGCCTTATGTTTCCTGATGTTACCTTCTTTAAAACCCAGCCATACTTCACAGGTCCATGTGACACTTAGACATTTGTGAGGTGTTACTACTACCATCGTTTTGAGATACAGTCACTTTCTCCCTTTCATCTCCCTCCACTTCTCCAACTCCACCACTTAGAATTTCTATTCCATCACTTATAGCTCCACCACTTTGGCCTTGTATGTCGGTTCCAGCTCTACCACCTACAACTCCAGTCCTATCACTTACAACTCCAATTCCATCACTCACAGGTCTAGTTCAACCTTCTACAGCTCCACATTCCTAACTTATCATCACCGTCAGCGTTCAACATCAGGTCCAGGTGATCACGTCTAGTATCAGGTCCTTCGCCTACTGCGGATTCATTTTCTTCTAGTCTACCGATCGCCCTTCGGGAAGGTATAAAATTAATTTTTAATCCCAATCCCAATTGTATTGGTTTGAGTTATCATCATTTATCATCACCCCAACATGCCTTTGTGTCATTTTTGTCCTCTATTTTTGTCCCTTAGTCCACAGGTGATGCGCTATCTCATTCTGGATGGCGACAGGATATGATCGGAGAGATGTTTTCTTTACATGCTAGTGAGACATGGGAGCTTATTTCTCTACCTTCAGGTGAATTTACTGTTGGTTGTCGGTGAGTTTATGTAGTTAAAGTTGGCCCAGCTGGTCAAATTGATCGCCTTAAAGCCCGCCTCGCTACCAAAGGTAATACTCAGATATTTGGGCTTGATTACAGTTATACTTTCTCTCTCGTGGCAAAAATAGCATATATCCGCCTTTCTCTATCCATGGTGGTTGTTCATAATTGTCCTTTCTATTAGTTGGACATTAATAATGCTTTTCACCACTGTGACTTTGATGATGAAGTTTATATGAAGCAACTACCTGGTTTTGTTGCTCAGGAGGAGTCTAGTGGCCTTGTATGTCGGTTGTGCTGCTCACTATATGGTTTGAAGCATTCTCCTCGAGCATGGTTTGGCAAGTTTAGCACATTTATTCAGGAGTTTGACATGACTCATAGTGAAGTTGATCATTTTGTATTTTATCAGTATTTTGCTCAAAATTTGTGTAGTTATTTGGTGGTTTATGTTGACGATATAGTTATTACCAGGAATGATCAGAATGGTATCGCTCGTTTGAAGCAACACCTCTTTCAGCATGTCCAGACTAAAGATCTGGGAAGGTTGAAGTACTTTCTAGGTATTGAGGTTGCTTAGTCTAACTTAGGTGTTGTTATTTTAAAGCGAAAGTATGCCTTGGACATTTTTTAGGAGACATGAATGACGGGTTGTAGACCCATTGACACTCCTATGGATCTTAATTGTAAACTTCTGCTAGGACGCGTGGGGGGGGGAGGGGGGCGCTTACGATCCTGCCAAGATATAGGCAGCATGTTGGTAAATTGAATTATCTCACAATGACTAGACCTAGACCTGATATTTCCTTTCCTGTGAGTGTTGTAGGCTAGTTTTGTGGATTCTCCCAATGATAGTCATTAGAATGCAGCTGTCTATATTCTTCAATATATAATATTAGCCCCAAGCAAAGGATTATTGTTTGAGGTGCTGAGCTGACCGTGGAATACACAGATGTTGATTGGGCAGGATCACCTTGAAATAGACGTTCTATGTTGGATATTGTGTGTTATTAGGAGGTAATTTGGTGTCTTGTAAGAGTAAGAAACAGAATGCGGTTTCTTGATCTAGTGTAGAAGCAGAACATCGAGCAATGGTTATGGTAACACGTGAGTTATTTTGGATAAAACAGTTACTCAAGGAAATAAAATTTGGTAAATTCAGTCACATGGAACTTGTGTGTGATAATCAAATTGCCCTTCGTATTGCATCAAATCCGGTGTTTTATGAGAGGATTAAGCACATTGAGATTGATTGTCACTTCATTAGAGAAAAGATACTCTCAGGAGATGTTGTTACAAAGTTTCTGAAGTCACTTGCAAATCTTTTCACCAAGTCTCTTACTAGTCCAAGTATTAGTTACATTTGTAACAAGCTCGACACGTATGATTTATATGTGCCAGCTTGAGAGGGAGTGTTAGATAGTTTACGTATATATATTAGTATGTTTAGTCCCACATTGGAATAGGAGTAGTATGTATTTGTAGAGTGTAGATATAAATAAGCTTCTTGTATTATAGTAAAGTGATACATATTAATAATATAGATTTTCCGTGCTATTTCTCACAAGAATGATTATATGTAGTTAGAACAACTTATTTTGATGGTTGTTGTTGAAGGCATAATTTAGTAAATAAAAGTATACTCTTTCTAACATCTTATGCTTTTAGATGTGATGGTTACACACTTCAACATGGTATCAGAGCAGGCAGAGGTCCTGGAGTCGAGTCTCACCGCTGCCCAATATAAAAAAGAATTTTCACGTGCTTGACTCATCAAAAAGAATCAAACCCGCATATGAGGGAATGTGTTGAAGACATAATTTAGTAAATAAAAGAGTGCTCTTTCTAACAGCATAAACTTTTAAATGAGATGGTTACATACTTCAACAATTATAAAGGATAGAATTTGAGATTTTCTGTCTCAAAGTCGTGCCTTATCTCTTAGAAATGAGATAAATGAAAATAAATCCCTGGTTGGGGCTTTCATCAAGCGGAAAAATGCAGGGCGTGTGTGTTGTGCGTGCTAAGCATGAACTGCACGCACAAGACTTCCCACAAACAGAAAAATGCCCTTATGCTATTGCATGTTGTGCGTGCAAGCTTGCGCCATATGCACATGGTCTTCCTGTTGACATCCTTCAGTAAAATGAATAATGTTTTTTGTAGGAATCAAGAAATAATAAAATTTTAAACCGTAGGAAACTAGAGTAAGAGTGTTACAACACTCTAGAGACCATTACCATTATACTCCTACATCTGGAGTAATATTTTTTTGAATTTAGGTAACGTTTGTCAGAATCTAACCCCTAGTATTTTCTTCCACCTTTTCTTTTTCCTAAAGTTTTCATTTACACCTAAACACTCTCATTTCACTCCTAATCTGCTCAAACACATCTTCAACCTTGTAGCACATAAAACTACGTATAATCGAATTAAAACTTAGCAAAATTTTTACGGTGCATAACAACTTGATCGTCTGGCCTATTTGTATGTATTATAATGATAATGTCTATCCCTGGTTGGATGCATATACAGAAGATGTTGGCTGTGGATCACATGTACACATCAGTTTGTCTAAGAATGGAGAAAACGTTTTTACTGCATCTGAAGAACCAAATCGGTATGGGATATCGAAGATTGGAGAATTGTTCATGGCTGGGGTGTTAGATCATCTTCGTTCCATATGTATATTTACAATGCCTATCCTTAATAGGTAAAGATAATTTTTATAACTTTTAATGCATTGTTACCTTTGTATCTACTGGTGGCTTGTTTATGCTCTCTCTGGATTGCTAATTCTTCTAGATGAGCATATCTGTCTGATAGATATATCTCAATCTGCTTTGTTGCGAGACTGCAGCACCATTTTCTCTATTTGAACAGTGACAGAGTTTTAACTAATTGCAACTACAAGGTGGAGTGACACTTTGAATGTAACGACAAGTGATTAATGATTTCTTTATGAAAATTTAGCAGTTTTATCTGTTAACACAATGTTTAAATTGTGAACGATCTTATTTTACTCAAAATTTTGTTTATCAAAGCATGTCGGTCTGAATATACCAGTGATATATATATATTCATGTCTTTTCTGTTTCCGTGAAATTAGTTTCAAAGAACTTTATATCCTACACTTAGATGTAAAGTATCCTTTAACATATTTCGTCAACTGGCAATCCATTACATTGCAATCACAAATTAGTTTTGATCAACTGAGATACTTATATTTCTCTTTCTCCAATTTTTCTGTTTCATCGTTGTTAAGTATTGAAGTAATTACAAGAGATTCTATCTCCACCTTTTTGTGATGGACTTAATTAGGAGAGATCATTGAACATCATAGCATTTTTTTGTTTTTTGAATTATGATTCTAAATACTCATGATGCACAGTTATGAGCGCCAAAGGTTTAAGTCGCTGAATTCGTATTACCTTTGCTGGGGGATAGAGTGCAAAGAGTTAATTGTAAGAGCTTGTTGCCCTCCTGGAGCTGCAGATATAGTAACCAATTTTGAAATTACAACGTTTGATGGAACTGCAAACCCACACCTGGGTCTTGCTTGTATAATTATCGCTGGGATCAATGGCTTGCGGAGAAGATTACCAATTCCAGAACCAGTTGGTAAGCTAGACATAACTCATTTTCCCAGTTTATGGGGTTGACACTAGTGCACTTTTATCTGATATTCCACATGTATTTTCTTCTTAAACAGAGCCAAACGCTTATGTCTTTGATTACAACGATTATAACGACTGTTGGGATAAAATAAATAATCCCGCCCAGGAATAATATCCACAGCAAATAATAATAATACAAGAGAGTAATAATGACACCAAATATTTTAGCGAGATAAAATACAATATCCGAGTGTAGCAATATTATCACTATAATATTACAACTCAGTAGTGTCAAGAGACTACTGCAACTTTGAAAGAAATAACACTCTTTATATAAAACACCTCACTACAATATTAATATCACTCACTAGTTATCTCACAGACAACAATTTGTGGATTACTCTCTCTAACTTCTATTGTTTCTCTCTTATTTTGGTGTGTCTTAACTGAGAGGGAATCATCTTTATTTATAGGCAAATTTGCCAACCACTTAGCAACACAAATTTGACTTATTGCATCGGAAATTGCAAATTGAAATCTTCAGCCGCCCATATGCATTCAAACAGCATATTTTGTCCAATTTTTTCAATCTTCTTCTTTTGGTTGGTGAGGTGTGGACCTCACAAATCTC